TGAATTTACTGTTTGTCCTTCTCTATAGGGAGCTCACCATTTTCAGCTGACTCACTAGAGTCTGAAATCTTATTTCCATGGATACTAGATGTATTCCAACTGAAAGGCTTTGATTTCTATAAGGTTATAGAGAGTTTTGTGAGAGCTGAGAGTAAACTGACAAGAGATATTGTCAAGGTAAGTACTTAATAAATATTATATGATGATCATTGTGATATTGTGGCATATTTACAAGTAGACTATTATTTATTAGGTAGGTATTTTGGAAACTTCCTAAGCAGAGAATCAAAATACCAAGTCTGAGTAAAATAGATTCAGGAGTTAAAACAGGAGTTAAAATTCATGTTTTGTGCTAATTACACAAAACCCCTACAGAATTCGGGACAGTTGCTGCTATTGATAAAGCATTCACACCATCACTTCACTGTACGTAGCTCAGCATTGTCTGTTGGCAGACACTGGCAGGTTAGGTGGAGGAAACTATTAGATTTTTCGCATTATGTAGACGCAAGAATAGTGCATATGCATGACATGTCCGCTGAAGGCAATCTTATTGGTTTTTCTAGGTGAAACTCATTGGACCATGTTCTTCAGGCGGGGATTTGGCACTTTGATCCTGTTTAATATGTTTAACATCTTTTCTATATTGCAGCACCTACACTTTGTAGAAAGCCAGATTCTTGAGAGCATAGCATGGAAGTCTGATTCACCGCTATTTAAATTTGATTCTGTTAAATTAGCAGCTACTACCTCACAGGTAAGGATATAATACAAATCACACCCAAGGGTGGATAAATAAGGGTGTGTGAACTCGTGTCTTGTGACTTAAGATCTAATTTATCTCTAGATCAATCTTATAAAAAGTGTTGATAAAGTGGTTACCAGCCTCTATCTGCAAGTACATGCATATACACATCCATGCAGAGAAACAACTAAAGATGTGGTCATACAGTTTTGTTGGAAACAATGTTGAATTGCATGCTGATTTGCATGTACTAATGAATTATTACAAAGTGATGAAAAGTTATACCGGATTCTGTTGTAAATTCGCCCACCTGAAAAATCGCCCTGGGCAGTTTCACGGCTGGTGGACCCTTATTTGGGGTTCAAATTTTCAAAAAATTATCATCAAATATTTTTAGGGGGCTTATATTTTCATTGAAAAATTCACCTACCGCTACGCCGATTTTCAACGCCGGCAGTCGAACCACCCAAAACGAAAGAAACTATTGCAGAAGCAAATCTAAAATTTTATACATTTTTTTCTTGATGGATTAAAAGTAGACAGTGCATCTTTCTCCAAAAAAATCACATTAACAAACAATCATTTTGTTTCATTTTATTAGTAACGAAAGTATATTTTCAAACAAGTTTTCAAATAAAAACGAACTGCAACTGCATTGCTTAGTAGCAAATGATTGTTTATCGCAATCCGGCCATGCTGAGTTTTACAATTGTTGATTATTACCTAGTTATGATTATAATAACGTGCACAAAATAGATTCGTCAAATTTTTATGAAATGCAAATAAATTTCATAATTATTTCATCATAAGTGAATGATTCCGATTGCATTTTCAACGCTTGATGCTGTGGAAATGAATATCCACCATGTTGGACCTGAAAAGATGTTCTGACAGGTCAAATCGATAATTAACCAATGAAAATGAAGATGATGCCAACGTGTTCAAATTACCATAGCTCATTTAAATATGTTAATGTTATTGAACGCAGCACGGAAAAGATTTGCCTATGTTGTTGTACGATCTTTTGGCTTGGATTTAAATAAAAAAAAATAGTTTTCAAAAGATAAAATGAGCATTTGAATAATAATTTAACATTGTTTACAGCGATAACAGCTCATTGTCGAAACCAAGCTAACCCATTCACGCTGGTCGCAATAAACATCAATACGCTTGAATAGGCATCAATGACCATGGCGAAACTTTTAGGCATCAGAAAAGATTAAAATATCACCTTAAAAAACTGCCAACAATTCGCCCTGGGCGGTTTCTTGGTCCCATTTTATTTTTTCAAAAACCTGAACTGCTGTTTAACAGCCCTGGGCGAATTTACGGCAGAATCCGGTACACTGTTTCTTCAATCATCACCTATCCTCATTTTGAATGTTGGTGTGCATTGTTTGATGGCTTACTTTTTTAAATATTGTTCCTGTAAATTTCCAAAATAATTTCATAGCTGCGGGGTAGTCACCGTGACTGTCATGAAATTTCAGTCATTAACATCTTCTGATAC